CCCCAAAACCCCAAAACCCCAAAACCCCATATTGAATATTTTATTCGAAGTTTATCGTAAGATTATAATATAATTAGATATTATGGAAAGTACAGATACAATTCATCAAAGTATCAATGTTGCTGAATTTATATCAGCTTGCGTTTATCTGGCCGAGGAATCTGGTAAAATTATCAGAGACGTATGGAACTCTGGAGTACTTGATAAACAGTCAAAGGCTCATGATATGTCTCCAGTGACTATTGCAGACTTAAGAGTTTAAAAGAATATTAATGAAAATCTTCAAAAGCTTTTTCCCACCCTGACTATTGAAGGTGAAGAAGATAAGTCAACTTATGATAAATATGAGGCTACTATTAGAACTGAAGATATTTCTCTTGACTTCATAAACTCAGAATTACTAAATGAAGCAAACGCAAACAGATTAGGTTATCTTGAATCACTAAAAGATATTTATGGAGAAGAGACCTTTGCTTATCCATTCAATTAATTTAGCACAGAAAAAGCTATAGTTTGGATTGACCCTCTAGATGGAACTTCAGAGTTTGTTAAGGGAAACCTCTCTGCTATAACAATTCTCATTGGACTCTCAATAGATGGAACTTCCAAAATTGGAATAGTCCACTATCCATTTAGTCATGAGGATCCTGAACTTGGTAAAACTATATTTGGCTCTCTGGAACATGGTTGCTTTAAATTAATTTCTAATGCTAAGCTTGATTATCTATGGCATAGAGAGAGAACTTTAGAAACTATAGAATCTTTTTCATAAGCTGATATGCCATCCTAAGATTAAATTTTGAGAATAACTACAACAAGCAATCGCTTTACTGAGGAAATCTAGAGATAGCTAAATTTATGTGGACCAATTGAGATAGTAAAATTGGGAGGTGCTGGTAATAAATGCTGCAGTGTAGCACTTGGCTTGGTTGATGCATATATAGTCCCTACATATGGAATGAGCTATTGGGATCTTTGTGCACCAGAATGCATTATAAAGGGAATGGGTTGCTAGGCAAGCAATATTCACTGTGGTAAATTCACCTATCATCAGTAAAAAGATAAGTAAATCAAGGGAGTAATAATTGCAAAGAATTCTCATTATTACTAATTGATTGTAAATAGATTTCAAAAGACAAACTTTCTGAAAATTTTGTGAATCATTTGATAATACCCAGATTATGATAGTTATTTGCGATATTTAATGATCTTTCCATGATTTTATTATTGATATCAATATTAAATTTCTTCTGCTTGTCACAATATATATGCTCTTGGGGTTTTGGGGTTTTGGGGTTTTGGGG